ATCCCTGGAAGCTGTTTGCTGGAGATGGGAGAGGAGGGCATGGGTGGGAGCCCTGCCTGGTCCCCCTCCCCAGGAAGCAGACAGGTCCTGGTCAGGGGAAGCCCTGCTTCCACTGGAAAGGGCTGGAGTAGGTGGCACGGGCTCAGAGTGGCCTGAGCAGGAGGCTGAGCCCCAAAACGGGACAGGTTGACATGGTCTAGGGCAAGGGCAGCACGGGAGGTGGTTGATGGCTGCACCCATCCCTCCTGCCCTTTGCTGATGCCCTGCGGTACCTTCACACCACCGTGTCCGCACACCCTCCTCATCCTCGCAGTGCTCGTCCCTGTGCTGTTCCAGCGACCACCTCGTCTTCCTCGCCTCCGAGCCCCGGGGCAGCACCAGTGCTGGTTATGCTCAGAGCCAAGTGCTGGGTTGGATCCAGCCCAATGCACATCTCTGTGTCCTGGCTGACCCCTTTTACCCCCAGGAAGGGCCCCACAGCCGCCCACCCGAGGAAGGGGTGCAGGGATGGCATGGGGCGGGGTGGCTGGGGTCTCCCTGCACCCAGCAGGGGCTGAGGAAAGGCAGGTGCGAGTGTCCTGTGAAATGCTCCGTCGCCATGGCCGGATGGGGCCAACCTGAGGGCTCAGCTACCCTGAGGGCCTGCCCTGGCAGCAGGGGCACTTGTGGGAGCAGCCCCGGGCTCCCACGCCAGGGGAGAAACCCCCCCCAGCAGCGTGCGGTGCCGGTCAGTGTCGTGCTACGTGGCGATGAGGGACACCTCGCCGGCAGGGATGGGGAAGGGGATGCCGTCCCCCCCATTGAGCAGGCGGTACATCAGCTCCTCCTTCTCGCGTTGAGCCTGCTCCCCCCGCTGCGCCTCCTTCTCCAGCATCCCGCGGGCAGCCAGCAATTCCTCCGACAGCTGCCTGCGGGCAAATGGCACACGCTGCCAGGGCCACTGGGCAAACACCCCCGAGCCCCCTCCACTCCCCACAAAGCACCTGGTGGAACCGCAGGCTGCGGTGTATTCCCCCCTTCCAACATGCTGCCACCTCTGCATCCGTTGGAGATGCCACCTGTGGC